TACTACAGTATTCAATTTTTTCTTTAATGACAAAATATACTTAAAAAGGTAATTATGATTTGGTTAATTCGGTGTACATATTTTATTTGACACACATATTAGTCGTTCAATTATTTTTCTAGCGGGAACGACATAGAATAACAAAATTTAAATATTTTTTTCGTATAACTTGGTTGTTTTATTTACTTTAAAAATAAAAAAGTTTTAAGAACACCGAGTATTAATTTTGTGCAGAGCCTAAGGAAAAAACTTTAAGCAATTCCAACAACAAGTTTTTGTAGGCAAGCTTTAAATAAATTGTATAATGAATAGAGATCAGAATTATGTGCATTTATAAATTTTGTTCGCGCCATTTTAAATGAACTCAAGTTGTCCAAATTTGTTGAGAAATATAGAATAGCATAAAAATATATTCGGTTTTAGATGGAATATACCCTATTTAATCCTCCAACATTATAACCTTGGTAACAACGCGTTACTAAATTTTATTTAAAAATGCATTTTTTATTTTCAAAACAATTAATAATAATTTCTACTGGCTAATGATGTACTCAGAATAACTTAACAAAATTCATAAATGCATATAAATTTGCTCAAGTAATTATCAAATATACTTACTCCTAAAACGAAGATAAATGGCTTCCTATTTAATTGCACTACTATTTATAATAATGCTTATAATATATATATATATATATATTAGTTTAATGAGTGTGTTATGTTATTTAAATAAGATTGCTCTAAGTCATAATCCATAGAAAATTCATTTCTCTAATTTTTTAGTATTGTAATTATTTTATTTCTGTAAATACTTCATTTCATTTCTAAGAAAATTAAGTAAAAGTTTTTTTTTACAATATTTAAAAAAAGCTCAATATTCTCTAGACTGTTCAACATTCTTTTTATATTAATAATAATTTAAAAGAGCCATTCCAAATTCTATAAATAATCACAAAAACTACTTTATTTTGATTAAATATTTGAATTTGTGTCATTGTTATTCGCGTAGTTTCATTATTCAATTTAAGAAAGCTTAAAAAAAACGTGCAAATTTTTACTTTTATTTAAAACACTTATTTGTATTGTTTAGAAAATTTATCAAATATTATCGCAACTACACCTAAAATATTTTATATTAGTACTGATTAAAAAAAATGTTAGTTCTGCTAAATTATGAAAACTTAATTAAAAATGTAATTACATTTCATTATAATTAATGTCATTTTCCTTATAATCTATAATTTGGACTTTTTTTTTTTTATTGTAAACATCCAAATGTAACTTTAATTATCATAGAATTTAATATAGCGATTTACATTTAACCAATAATAAAGCACATGTAAGTTGATAAGAAGAGTAACATGATAAGTTAAAATAAGTTAAAGAGCAACTTAAAAGAGAAATTTGATTGCGTATAANTAAAGAGCAACTTAAAAGAGAAATTTGATTGTGTATAGTATAATTAAAGCAAAGTGCAAATACTCGGTACAACAAGATGATACTTGATTTATAATTTATACACCTTAGTGTTCATGAGATGTATCATACTAATTATTTTTTTTCAAAACTATATTTCATTCAACACGAATATGTGCATCAAAATATAGTTACGTAAAAATCATATAAAAATATTTTTTTACAATTCAGAGTACGCTTTATTTTTTGAATATAATCCATATGCAAAAATAAAACGTGTAGTGTAAGTGTAATTANTCCATATGCAAAAATAAATCGTGTAGTGTAAGTGTAATTAAATTTAATAGTATGATTTATGATTTTAAATCTGTGGGATTTTTAACCAAATTATTAGGTGAATTTACATTAAATCCTATTGAATAACACTAAATGACATTTCAAAATCAATGCAAACAATGTCTTTAATTTTCCACTGTAGTTTCCTCTGATAACTTTTGATGATGTTCTCTTGTCGTAGATTGATGATGTGTTAAAGGTTCCATGGGAACGACCACAGCGTCCGGACTACAGCTAGGAGCTGAATGATGAACCAAGGCTTTGTGCTCAATGCGACTTACAGATGATGTTTTTGACTTGTCTTTTGAACTTAAAGCATTTTGACTATTTCTCGAACAAGCCTCCTATTAAAAATATCTAGTTAATTTTCATGGAATATTATATTAACACAAAAATTAACAATAACGTTAAATGAAACTATCAATCTTAATTACTTTAATCAAATATTAATTTATTTTATCCTATATTTAAATATTCGAGTAATCAAAAACTAGTAATAAAATTATTTAAGGATATATGATAGACTACATAATATACATATAAATTCATAAGCCGTTTATTAAATAAATAAACAAAATCGATTATTTTTGGGTGAATTGGATGGAATTATATAAAAAATTTCGACTGATTTTTTTATTAAGTTAATGATCATTATCAAAATATTTTTTATTTAATTTACACTAAAATAGTTTAACAAAAATACATTTTTGAGCGATTTAATATTTAACAAAATAAACGTTATTTTATGAAAACCGGAGAATGATTGATGAAGACATCAAAAACGAATGAACAAAAAAATTATCTTACACGTGCTTATAGGTTAAACAGCTGGAATTTTGACATTCCCAATAGAAACATATAGATTATAAATTCAATACAAGGATATTAGGTATGTTTTATTATACATTTTAGGTCAAGTATTTACTTTGGAACTGTTGTGTATTAGTTGCTCAGTCGAACAATGACTAGGCGGTGTGCCTTTGGCTTCTCTATTCTTAGTCGAGTGTCTTCTCTGCTGGTCCCTTTGATACCATTTTAAATTGTACGCTTTCAAGGAAGAAGTACTGTGTACAGCTGGGTCACTACCCGTCTTGCCGTAACCTATTTAATTGACACAAAAAACAGTGATTAACTATTGATTTAACTACGGTTGCGTTTTTATTTCATTTTATTGATGCGGACCTTTATTTTTCACATAAGTTGTTTGTAAAATTTTAGTTATTACTTACCCAATTTTTTTGCTCTTTTCGTTTTTCCTGGAGAAGATGAAGGTGTTTCTGAAGTGGATGGTCGACAAGAGATCAAAATGAAAGCAGCTGCCCTAGCTGCACCTACCCTGTTGTTATCCTCATCTTTAGTTTCCAACTGTCCGGCACTACTCTCCTCTTCTTGATGAGCTGACCCTTCGGATGTACCGTAATGTCGACCAGAAGATGTTTCTACATAAAAATAACAAATTTATTAATTACAAATATTACATAGCCAAAATATACATTTTGATATATTCAAAAATTTAAATACTTGCCATCACTTCAGACCATATTAAGGACAGGTTAGAAAAACTTTTAGGTGTGAAAAAATACTAAAAAAAATTATACATAAATAAAATGAATTTTAAATTTATTAATATGTATATTATCCAATTTATTTATTCATTTATGTTTTAGGTACTCTCTAAAAGTTATTACTTGTTCTAGAGTGCAATAAAAACATATATTCTTAAATAAATATATCCGAATTTTCACATATATATACTAAAAGTTTTAAACGAATAAAATTTAAAATAAAATTATAATAAATAGTTATACAAATTTTATTAGTGTGTATGAATTGTCAATACTTTATATCAAAATTACTCTATTTGGGTGTAAAGTAAAGCGTATACATGTATTTAATAAATGTAAATACTTATCTAATATTTAAAAAAAAATTGGTTATTTTTATATACATATATTTCTTGATTTATCAGCTATTCATTTTTTTAGAGTCATCCCTTATAACTTATAAGGATGTCAACTTTAATTTTTTTAATGATAAAATACTTAACTAACTAACTTATAAAATATATAGTTAATTAATTAAGAAAATGACTTCACATTAAGTTATTCACTTAAAATTTCATACAATAAAATTGGCCAACCTTTGACTGGGCGGATTTTGTTTATATATGCATCAAAAGACACGATTTTAATCAAATTAAACATATCATCAACGAAAATTTAAAAAACCTAATTAATTTCAGAAATTAAAAAAAAAATCTCACAATTATGCTACCGTTAGAATAAAAAAATCGCAATTTTGAAAAAAATTACTGTCAGATACCATTTGTCACAAATAAGACAAAATTAAAATTAATTATTTCAAAATAGCCATTTTTTACCTCTTTTCTTATAAATATTTTGTTGGGTTGATTATAATTCTAGAATAAGTAACAATTAAGTTACAAACATTTTAATATATACCTTATGTATTTAAAAGTTTTATGTCCAATTATTAATATAAGCACGTTAAAAACAATATTTATCCTTAAAATTAAATATTTCATGAAATTTTAAAACCCTATCATACACCTTATTAATGATAACATAACACATAAGTAAATTTTACAGTTTCTATTCTATTCTCCCAATGAAATACATTTATTTGAAGTTACAATTAGTTAGACTATTAAATAGGTAAACCTCCATTGACAGTTGTGTATTTTAAATGCTAAAATATCCCATATGGAAATTACAATCTCTGGATTATTCTATCTATAAAAATAACTTAATACTTTTGTTTTATCTTTTATTACTTAGGTAAACAATTTTTGTTTAACTTTATAAAAAATGATACTTACTATCATTTGTACTAGTTTTAAATAGCTTTATAACTATTTAAAAACCTTGCCCCTAAATTTATTCATATTAGAATTGAGGAAATCTTATAATAAATAAAAACATGAATTATTAAATGGCCGTCTCGTGGGTATTCTAGGATAAAGGCCACGTGTAAAGAAAGTCTCGTACTGGGAGAAAGGCTTAAATAAGTCTGAAGCGGAGGCTTCTGTTATAATACTA